ACTGATTTCATGGACAAACGGACTGATAGTCACGAAAGCAATAATGGCTTTAAAATTCGAAAAGAGGCCAAACTCAAAACATGAAATACTCTTTCCTAAAGAGGACATAAATGGATACTGAAAAAGAAGAGCGATGAATGTAAATGCCGAAAGCGAGCAGTAGAGATTACAACGAACCAAATTTAGTATTAAAAATTTAACGAATGAATCTTACGTGAGCCGCTTGTCGAATCAGGCTCTCTGTCAACGAAGAATTCACGAAACTGTTCTATCTTGCTGGGATCGTCGATTGCCTCCAAAAGTTCTGCTTTGTAGAGGCGTAGATGCCCGAGCCAAAAGTTGTCGTCCTTATCCATCTGGAAAAAAGACACAATTTTCTGAGGCATTAATCGTGTGGTAACAGTATGCCTACCAGTAAATACTAACAACAATTGAGTGGGTGGTGGAAATGCAGCTTTCAGAGAAGTGGGTTGTACAATTTGCAGGGGTGATCTTGGATCGGAGGAGCATTCACAGTGCAGCCGTTAACAGCAACGAACAAGGAAACAAACAACCTGCTGAATAAATAAGCTTGAATGAGTGAAAGTGATAAGCTTATGAGTTCATACCATACTGTTTGAAACCGTCCACTGATCAGTTATCATCGAAATAATTTCAAAAGCGCGGCAAATTAAAACTTACCAAAGTACTGAAGCAAGATTTCTCGTCACCGGCTTCTGTGAGTCGCGCCGGTGCACTAACGGGTTCAGTAAGTTCATCTGGTTCAATGCTAGGTTCTTCTTGTTCCATTGGTGCACTCTTCGGTTCTGTCGGTTTCCATGGTGAACCGATAGATTCCGTAGTTGCAACTGATACAGGGCCGATTTTGCCCGGTTTTATTGAAGCAATGCTGAAATCCGATAGAGACAGTGCCGTGCTGTCGGAATCCGAATTTTCCGACGAAGCGTAGTCTGAACTTGTATGGGTCGTTGCTTCACTGGTGATAGAGGAGCCTTCGTATGTACCACTGAAAGAATCTGCACCTTCTGTAAGATCAGCAGCGACTTCATCCTGCTTCTGCTGCTGCTCCTGCTCCTGCTGCTCCTGCTTCTGCTCCTGCTGATCCTGCTCCTGCTGCTGTTGCTGCTGCTCCTGCTGCTGCTGCTGCTCCTGCTGCTGCTGCTGTTGTTGTTGTTGCTGCTGCTGCTGCAGCTGCGGCTGCAGCAGCAGCTGCTCTTCCATCTTTATAAAGCTGAAAAAATCTTTTACATAGATAGGCTTACGAAAATCAGTTTATTCTCCTGTCATTAAAAAAAAATATTGGGATAAAAAAATCTGATGAAAAAAGAATTTTTCAGTCAAAGCATTCGGCTGAAAACAGAAGAGTTTTTCGGTTCAGGCTCCTGCTCAAAACATTTTCATAACCCTGCCTCTCCCCAGATTCTCCCTTTCGTTTCTATCTTGTCTGCCTTACGCCAAGAATTTCAAGGCCGCTCGGGCTATCAGTATGGATAGCTCCGGTTAATGATGTCACTAGGTTGCCCTCACACGCTGTGCGAAGCTACGCCCAGCCTTCGGATCCTGTTGTGCCGTCAGCTAGTAGCCATCACCTGTTGTGTGTACTCAATAATGCGCATTGTCCACCGACTGTCGGTAAGACGAGCGACGTGTTTTGCCCATCGAATTTTGATTTCTTGTGTGCATGCAGTGCCATCCTGTAAGCCGCTCATTTGACTGCTTATTTGGTCGCGGAAAGATAAGCCAAGAACTCACTGCCATCGCTCTCTCCTCAACTTTTCTGAGTGACCACGTTTCGCATCCGCACATCACTGCTTTCAACTCAGCGGGACTGAAGAGATGGGAACGGTTCTTCCGATTCGGCACTTCAGGACATTGACAGTGCCGTGAAAGTTGTGTCAACCGGCACCCTCTCCAGTTGGAGGTTGTGTCGCATATTCATTTCCAGCCCGAGACAGGCATAAGTGTCAACTTCGTCCAAGTTCACACCGACTAGCTGTAATTTTGTCGCGGGCATGCCGGGACTTTGGATCATTTTCGTGAGTTGATTTTCAGGCTCACTTCTTTATTTCGTGCGTTGAGCTCCTGCAGCATCTCGTTTATTTGTTGAGGGCTGTTGACAATAAAAACTACGTCATCCACGAAGCATAAGTGATTTAGTTGTTTGCCGTTCATCTTCAGATCATCTTACCAATTTTCGACGTTATTTCGAGACGGGCGGTGAAAAGCTTGGGCGGTATAGGATCGCCTTGCCTTATTCCCTTTTCGATCTGTAAAAAAAGTGTTATTTCTGTCTATTTTCGTCCCATATTGTTCCAGCCAATTCGTTAATTTACAGGAACTTTTAGCGCAGCATTCAGCTCAAAGATATCAAATGCTTCTTCGTAACTGACAAGTGGGAGACAAAGAGGGCTATCTGGTACTCCCTTGCACGTTCCAGCAGCTAGTTTAGAGCGAAGATGTGGTCCATAGTGCTGCAATTACTTCGAAATCCAGCTTACTTCTGCGACTGCTGCTCGTTGAAAAGTCTTGTTAGTCAGTTAATGATAATTTTCGTAAACAGTTTGTAAATATGGGCGGATAGGCAGACTGGGCGGTAAATCTCCAAATCTTTCTTATCGGCCTTTTTATGCACCACAACTGTTTTCGACTCTTTCC